ATAAATTGTTAGGCAAGAAAAAAAAACCCATCAGATTCTCTTTTTTGCCCTGAGAATGAAGCAATCACAGGAAAGTTGTACTTTTATCAAACCCCTGTAACATTCTTTCCAGCTCTTGGTGGCAATGAATTTGATGCATTCAAAACATTAACCTTCCCTTGTAATTGGCGGGAAAATCGGCTGAGACTCTAGAGCAGCGGGGTAGAGTAGAGGAGGCGCTACTGCTACGCTGGTTAGAGGAAGAGGGAGAGTCCTCTCTAGTAGCAATCCCTCAGAAAATTTTGGATAATTAATTTTTGTAATTAATTAATTTTTTATTAAATAATGAATATGATAAATCATATAATGATTAGGTGGATTTTTTTTTAATTTTCACGTCATTTAGTTAACGGTCAAACTTTATAGTTGACTGCCACGTAGGACAAATTTAACGGAGTGTAACGGCCAGTAACTAAATGTGTAAGATTTGTATAATTTGGGTGACCAAATGTGTAATTTAACCCATATTTTTAATTTTAAAATTTACCCTGATAAATGAATCGAATATTAAGTGAATCACAAGTCTTCAAACCCAGATTCCATAACAATTTTGTATTTATGTCGTTATCGAACCTTGACTTCTATTTTGTGGTCTTACAATCTACTTAATTCTAATTGTAGAACTCGTTCTCATCATCGTTGTTAGAGAGAAACCAAAAACAGCGTATATTACTTATATCAAAATGATACTGAGAGTAAAAGTAGGCATATGTTAATCAAAACCTGAGATCTAAACATCCATTTGATCAAAGTTTTGTTTGCAGTTATTTCCTTTTGTTATTGTTTTCTTCTTTTTAACGGAAATTACATTTCATAATGATTCCATTTCCATGCCGGCTTCCCAGATCCCACCCAGAAAAAATGGGGAGGGGCGAGGTTGCTAATATTTTTTTTAGCATGATGTTAACACTAGCTCCAACCAATAGGAATATTTTGGTTTGGCTGACTTTTTTATTTAAATGAGTTGACCACAATTAATGAGAGGTAAAAGGAAGAAGAGGCACGCTTTGTATTATGAAAAATTGGGGTAGGGGGAAGGAAGGGAAGGGACCACGAACCAGACCACAACATTTTCCAAGCATGCCACAATCTCAAAGCAGACCACTACCTTCTCAAAGCATGCCACAACCACAAAGCATGTCACAACTTATTTAAGCATGTCACAACCTCAAAACATGCCACAACCACAAAAGCATGCCACAAGCCCACAAAGCATGCCACAACTTGTGGACCTGTTTGTAAATTAGAAAAAGTTTACGTACCAAAATATAAGAGAAAATTTCAGGTACTAAAATGTAAATTTTATCGATATTTTTAGTACTCGAATGTATAAAACATAATTTTAGGTACTATATATTAGTACCTATTAAGTTTAGGTACCAAAACTATAATTTGTAAATGAAACTTAGAAAAGCTACGTAAATTGAAGAGAATGGGAAATGGAAGGGAAAGGTTGAAGGCATAAATACTATAATACTCTTAATGAAAGTGTTAGTATGATGCTAACACTTAAGGGTGTTAGCTTGGGATTACCCACTCATGGGTAATTTACTAATTTTGTCCAAACCCAAGTAGACCCATTCATTATGAGTAGGGTATGGGTGAGGTGTATTTAGGTTTGGAGATTTGTAAATGGGTTTGAGTTAGGTATGAGCATTGCTTTCATAATCAAAATGGGTATGTGTTGGATATGAATATCCATTTACTTGAGGGTGTTTTAACTACACATCCAAAAATTGGACCTATTTGTAAAATTTGAAAAGTTTAGGTACCAAAATGCAAGTACAAAAATTTTTGGCACTAAAATGTAATTTTTCATCCACATTTTGAGAACTTATCTGCAAAATATATTAATTTTAGGTACTAAATATGCATATCTATTAAGTTGAGGTATCAAACTGTAATTTGCATTTGCACATGGGTACAAACTTAAATTCATTTGTTAAAAATCCAACCCAACCCAAGTAAATGGGTATGGGTACAAACCCATCAAACTCTACTCATCAACCATATATTTGGATTTCATACCCAACCCAATTGGGTTGGATAGTAAAATACCCATGGGTATGAGCAATATTATCATCCCTAGTGTTATCACCCTATCCACTCCCCACAAAATGCCATACAAATATAATCATGAAGGTCTTTCGTAAAAAATCATAGAAGAAATATATTCAAGAGTGTTAAATACTCAAAACACTTTCCCACAATCTTTTTTTTTTACAAAAGATAATCTTAAATTGATTGAACAAATAGATAATTACATCCTGGAATTCAGCCATTCTTGAAAATCAAAGAAATGACTCTTAGTCGGTTACAAAGACAAGGCCTTTCTAGCCACCAAATGAGCTACCCCATTGTTACTCCAACTTACATATAGCACACCGAAGCTCATATCCATTGCGAAAGACTGCACAATTTCTTTAAGAATAGTCCCCATCCGATTGTCTCTGGTATCAGCCCGTATGATTTTCTCAATGACCACTTTGGCATCTCTTCCAAACCTGATAGAAACATATTTCTAGGGCTCTATCGGTTGAGTTGTGGAAGGGATTTAGGGATTAAAGAACAAAATTAGGGATGTGAGAAGAGAAAGACAGGGAATCGGCCTAGGCCTTCAGATGGTTGAGAACGAGAATTGAGAGGATAGAGAGACTAGAGTTTGGAAGGCTTTTCTTAATATTCTTCTTATTGATTCTGACATAAACCCAAAGTACATATTTATAGCGAAAGACTGGAAAAACCTAATTGACTTTCCTAATACGACTCAATGACTACTAACCTTATCTAATAAGAATAAATGATAATTATGATAGAACCGAAAATTAGGTTTCTATCATCCCCTCCCCCTTAAGACCAACCTTGCCTTAAAGGTTGACCCATTTGACCTCCTTCTCCTTGACCCTCCGCTTTCTTCGTTTCCAGTTGCACTTCAAATCATGAATGAACTCTTCTCTCGCAACTCCAACTTTCTTCAAATCTCCTCCACCCTCGTGACATATGTCACGTTCTTCATAGCCAAACAAGTCTTCCTCTTCTTTCTCGAAATTCACAAAATAAGAGTAGGGAAATTGTTCTTCCTTGCACTCCATGATTTCCACCATGGGTTTGGGGAAGAAAACAAGCTTTTTTAGGTTCCATTCTTCTCCAAGTGGGTTTGGATTGACTGACCTTGAAAGCCTAACTCCTACTCAACCGAGCCCACTTCCTTCTTCATTCCTCTTTTGTTCTTGAAAAATAAATTCTATAGAAAAGCTCACTCGTGGCCCAAGTCTCTGTTGATGAATCGGCCCAACTTTTTTTCTCAATAGACAGGAGATGAACTGAGTCTCTAGCCCACTCTGCTGGCCCATCGGAACTCGGCCCAAAGAGAATCCAGCTGACCTCTTATTACTCCCAAGCCCGTGATCGTTCTCAACCATTTGATTAGCAGATCCCGGCCCATATCCGAGCTCTTGCTTGTTAGCACACTCGACCCGATTCGCTTGGCCCAACGACCTGACGAACCAAACCACCACTCGGCCCCACAGTTCTGGCCGCTTAGGGGTGCAACCTAGGGTTGCTGGACAAGGAGAACTGCCGCCCTCCTCTCCACTCGGCCTCTGCTCTATTGCGCCCACCAATGGTGCCGTCTTCCTCGTCCCGTTCCCTGGCGGTGCGCCATTCCACCGACGGCCAGGTGGCCGATCCGACTCCGCCGCCGCCTTCCGCTCCGTCTCCACAACTTCATTGTCAACGGTGACCGGGTTCCTTCATCAATTGAGAGAGAGAGAGAGAGAGAGAGAGAGAGTTGTCGCCCTCTTCCCCCTTGGCCGACGAATTCATCGCCTTCTTCTCCGGCGAATCCTTTTACTTCTTCTACGTCGAATCCTTTTTCTCCTTCTCCATCTTGATCTCGGCAGTTGTAGTGGCTAGCAAGAGCGGGGCTGCTGTCGCTAGTGGCGGAGCTACTCACAAGGGAGGGGGGTGCTTGCAGCCCCCTTGGCCTGGAAAAAGTTATTAGATAGTATGGAGGACACTAGGCAAAGGCATCAGCAGCCCCCTTGGCCTGGAAAAAGTTATTAGATAGTATGGAGGACACTATGCAAAGGCATCGAACAACTATCCCTCTCAATGAAATTCAACACCCAGAACATTCACCATCTCGGCTGGACTAGTTTTTAAATAATCATACGTACATCCTTTTATTTATAATATAACTATTTGTCCCTAAATAAAAAATTTGGTCATTAGTTAAATTTATGTGTTCTACGTCCATGACAGGTACAAAAACTCATTTCCCAGTTGCATAAGAAGCATAAATTTAATCCATATGTTTATTTGCTTATTGAGTTTACACTCATTTTTCGGTTGCAACAAGTGTGGAGCGATCATTTTCATCTATGAAGTATATCAAGAATGATTTTGAAATCGAATAAAGGATGAGTGGTTGAACTACGCATCAATAACATTTATTTAACTAGATTTGCATGCTAGATTGGACAAAAAATGTGTTCTATAATGCTTTGGGTATGAAATTTCGTTACCGTTCGTTGTAAGCGATGAACGTCAAACTTTTATTCTGTAATTGTTTGAAGTTTAAGTATTATGTTGTTGATTTCTTATTTCGTTTAGAGTTGACTTTTTTGTTATGTAGTTTGATTTTTTTATGATATGAAAAAACACCCTCTTGGCAAATTTTCTGGCTCCGCCACTGGCTGTCGCACCTCACCGGATTCGTCGACCTCGAATTTGCCCGGAACGGATTCTCGTTCGCAGTCGCTGTGTTTGGAGCCACCGTAATCCGCGGCACCCTCAGCGTGGTTTGCGCCGCAGGCGACGAACTCCGGCCAATCTGTACCGCTTCTTCTTCCGGCATCGATCCTCGGCAGCTAGGCAGATCCACCACTTCTTTCCCGGACGATGGAACCCAGAGAATCCGCTCCATCATTGGCTCTTCCTCTTCTTCGCGTCGTCGATTGATGGCGACGTTACGCTCCCCCGTTCCCGAGCTGACCTCCAAGCTCTTATTCTGCACTGCAGCAATCCTGGTGGATGACTATTCACCAGTCAACGAGGCTGGTGGCCCGACGGGAGTCGTCACCTCCGGCTTGCGACCAGCGATGAGAGAACAGCCAGCCCCAGTTCCCCTTTGGCCTGCCTCAATCCCTTCTTCCGGAATTTCCATCCGTCAATTGGAATTGGCGGAGCTGGAGTCGACCTGAAAACCGTCCCTGTTGTGGAGCTGGTTCAAATTCTGCACTCTCGGTGGCTTTCGGGATTGTTGGCTCTGATTGCGGACGGAGTGACTAAATCTGCAAGGACGACTATAATTGGGACAACTGCGGTTGACGTTGGAGGCTGGTTAGCCTCTACGACAATGGTGGTGGTTTCCACCACTAGTGGTGGTGGTGGTTGATGGCTTGGGTTGTCGAGGCTAGGAGACTCATAAGTAATAATATATCCTCCGCCGTCAGCTGCCGCTCCCGCTAACCGCAATTTGCTCATCGGTTGCTGTAGCCAAAGCTAGAGCGAGTGCACTCTCCCGGGCGGCACATTTTCCCCTTTGTTTCTGCATCTCCGCCAAAATTCGGCTGATCAAATTATCCATCTCTTCAAACAGTAATCTCACTCCTTCTCTGGTTAAAGATGGTGATAAACTCATGGTCGATACCAGCATGTAGAATCCGTCCCCGGTTGAGAGTAATGGCGAACTCTCTCTCGGAACGGGGCTCTGATACTAGTTGATAGAAACCTATTTCTAGGATTCTATCGGTTGAATTGTGGAATTGGGGATTTAGGGATTAAAGAACAAAATTAGGGATTTGACAAGAGAAAGATAGGGAATCGGCTTAGGCCTTCAGAGGGTTGAGAATGAGAATTGAGAGGATAGAGAGACTAGGGTTTGGAAGGCTTTTCTTAATATTTTTCTTATTGACTCCGACGTAAACCCAAAGTACATATTTATAGCAAAAGACTAGAAAAACCAAGTAGACTTTTCTAACACGACTCAATGACTTCTAACCTTATCTAATAATATCCTACTAATAATAAATGATAAATATGATAGAACCGAAAATTAGGTTTCTAGCCTTGTCCCGAGCACCAGGAAATAGCCTCCCGGAGAACAAGTAACTCAACCACCATAGAGTCATTAATCAAAGGGAACTGAACCCGCTTCGCCAAAAGGACCTCTCTAGCGTGATTTATAATAACCATCCCGCCTGCCGAATGAGACCCTGATAGAAACCTAATTTTGGGGCTCTATCATAATTATCATTATTATTAGTATTAGGATTTATTTAGATATAGTTAGTAGTCTTTGAGCCACATTAGGATAGTCTATTAGGTTTTTCCAGTCTCTAGCTATAAATATGTATTTTGGGTCTTTCGTCAAACTAAGCAGAAATCAATAGAAGAATTCTTTTCCCAAACTCTAAGATCTCTCTATCTCTTAATTTCTTTTCTCCCCTAATCCAAGGTTTCGGCCGATTCTTATTCTTTTCTTCTTCTTCCCCAAACTCTCAATCCCAGTCCCCAAATCTATATCCAAATCCCTAAATCCCCAATCACCTAACACAATCGATAAAACCCTAGAAATAGGTTTCTATCAGACCCACTCCTTGTTGCCCCATCCAACATACAAACAACCATAGTAGACCCATCAGGACCTAAGGGAGGAAACAAAGGACTGGAGATTTGGAGTAGTCAGTCCACCAGGAGACAGACCCACTCCTGAACCTGCTGGTTAAATTTCCGCATCAATATTGGGATCCCAAACTTTTTACACTAAAAAACTACCCTGTTGCGAGATCGTCATATCCTCCAAAGGACAGCAATCACCGTCATGAACAAAGACGGTTGATGGACTAGAGACAACAACTTTTTCAGAAACAGCGAGAAAGTGTGAGGAGTCAAACTTACCCAAGATACTCAAGACCAGAATTATCCTAGAGGGCGCGATAACAGGAGATATTGAAAGATCGTCAAGACTCAAATCGGCGACTATGAATGTCAAAGTGGATCTTCAAAATTTAGAGGAAATCATCATCATCAAGTTTAGTTTAGTTTAAGGCGTAATACCAGAAAAGGGCCTATAGTTTGGAGTTTGGGTCATTTGTACCCCTATGTTTATCTTGCATCACTTATGTCCCCAAGATTAGAGTCCGTTAACCAGCTCCGTTAGTTTTTGAAGGTCAACTGTTGACCGATGACGTGTCAAACAAAAAAGCGATTAGTTTCCATGTCATTATAGAAAACGTGATTTTTGTAAATTATAATTACCGAAAAAAATTAAAATCAAAGTAAAGTAAACACGAATTAAAAAGTGGTCCGGCTTTACTCGATCCCATATCTCTCCTTCCCTTCTCCTTTGAAAAGCTCCCAACCCCAACGAACAGCGAAGATTCGTGGTCGATCTACGAATGGGGGAGCGTGGATTCGGCGACCAGTCGTCGTCGGGACAGCGTCGCAGGCTTCAATCATCAGCGGCGGACTGTCGAACCAACCCACCTTCGACATCAACGACGACGACTCCTGACGCCGACGACCTTCCTACATCAACACCACCAACGACGACAATTGAGGGGTTTGCGACACTTTGTTCAAGAAGCAGCAATCGATTGGGTCTCGGTGCTGGTATTCCTTCAATTCTCACAGCCTTCGACACTCTCTCTTAACTTCCCCCAATTTCTAGGGTTAACTGTTTTCGCAAAAATTTGTAGGGAAACAGAATGAAATGGAGAATGGGGAAGGTCGTTGTGGTACTTGAAGTTTTTACTGAAGAGGTTGTTTAAGAGGGACCACGAATTGGGTTGTGAAGACGAACTTGCCCTTGTAGCCGAGCAAAATTGGGTATGCACGTCATTCTTTCAATTGCTTTATCGTAATTTTGGAACATTTGGTTGTTTGTTTATAAGTATATATCCAACTTATGATTAAACTACTCTTGAGAATGCATGCTTCGATTAGAAAAATTCATTATCTAACCATCTATTCTCAACTTGTTGGAACCGGGCAGGATGGCAAATGACACTATCGACCTTATCATCCATCATGGTGGTCACATGGATTATTCGGAGGGTAGCTCGCATTACCTCAATGGGAAGTGTGAATTAGTTAGCATTGATAGGGACTACATATCATATTTTGAGCTCGAATCGGTGGCCACTCATTACTTCCACTATGCAAGAGTTGAGAGAATGTGGTATATGTCACCTTCATCAACCATTGAAGTGAGTCTGTATGAGGTAAAGTCGGACAATGATGTCATGGATGGATTGCTGCCAGCAGTTGTGAATGGGCAGATTGAATATACTTCGAATGCACTGAAGATTTGGCTGTTGTGGATGACAATGAGGCTGTTGCTTGGGGTTCTGGGGACGAACATGAATATGATGGTGAGGAATCTGTGAATCGCGATATTATTCATTTGATGGATGATGACTGTCGAACATCAGATGATGAATTTTTTGAAGCCATGGAGAATCTAGGCATCCATCAACGGAGGAGGAAAGTTCGTACTAATTAATGTGATTCGGGAGAAGAGGTTGAGCAATTTAACTAGTTTGAAGACCTCCCGACTATTGAACAAGGTGTTAACTTCGAAGCAGATGGTGCTGCAAATGCACAACCTCCTGATGAAGAACACGTTGATGTAGTGGAATCGCAGTATCATGGGGGAGATGGTGTGGATGGTGGAGATGTACCAGTTTACGACCCTGATTGTGAGGCTGCCAGTTTGAACTCAAGGTTGGGATGATATTTCAGTCTCCCCAACAGTTCCAAGAAGCAGTTAATGACCATTGCATAGCAATGGGGGCTGACATCAAGTGGATTAAGAGCTGCAGTAAGAGGAAATGGGTTGTTTGTAGACAATCTTGTGGGTGGTACGTTTATGCTAGCTGGCATGTCCACGATCTGTCCGACTTACTTGTGCAAATGCCAGATGGATTGCTAAAAAGTTCCTGCACCGATTTAGGGTCAACCCCAATTGGGATGTGAAGCAAATGGTAATGGAGCTCAAAGAAGTCCACTATCCGGATGTTTCCCATAAGTAGGCCTATCGAGCACGTATGTATGCCAAAGAGTTGCTAGGAGGCAGCTTAGTCGAGGAGTATAACAAGATACGGTCATACATGCCGGAGCTACAAAAGGCTGATCCTACTGGTAGATTTGTTTTAGAGGTCGATCCTTCCAATATTCCAGGTCGAGTTCTTTTCAAGAGGTTGTTCATCTGGTTTTCAAGCCTTAGGAAGGGGTGCATGCCTATATTTGCCCTAGATGGATGCTTTCTAAAAGGTGAAGTCAAGGGTATGTTGCTTAGTGTCGTGGCTAAGTATGGGGACAACAGAATGTACCCTATAGCTTGGGCTGTGGTAGAAGGAGAGACTAGTGAGTCGTGTAATTGGTTTGTGGGAGCACTTCAGGAGAAGCTTGGTCTTCAAGATGGGTGTGGATGGACCGTCATCTCAGATCAACAAATGGTTTGTGTTTGCTATTTGTTTAACTCTTTTGTTTGTGGCTGTTGTTATTACTAATATTGATGTCTGTTTCAGGTTCTTGTCCAAGAACTCCAAAATGTTTTTCCTGAGGCACATCACTGAAAATGTGCTCGGCATGTTTTTGCCAATTCGAAGGTGGACCATAAGATTCAGAGAGTGAGGGATCTGTATTGGGAGGCTGTTTACAGCAATAATGAGAATGCTTTTCAAAGGAAAACTGCTTTGATGGAGCAGATTCAAGCAAGTGGTGCAGATCCAACTCTTCTCACAAGCTTTATGGCACTAGAGCCTCATCGTTTCTGCATGGCATTCATGTCTCACACCCCTAAGAGTGATGCAGTGGAGAGCAACATTTGTGAGACGTTCAACTCCTACATCGTGGATGACATAGAGATGCGTATAATTGATATGCTTGAGGGAATTCGAAGGAAACTAATGGTTCAGGTTGTGGACAAGAACAAGAGAATGAATGCTACTACTGATGCATTGTGTCCTCGGATCCGAAAGCAGATTGAGAAGGGTGTAGAATATGGCCGTCGATGGACCACACGACCAGCCTTGCATGGTAAGTTTAAGGTGGCGCTCGGAACTGAAGGGTACGTTGTAAGTTTAACAATTATGACTTGCACATGTGGGCAATGGGGTTTGACAGGAATCCCATGCCATCATGCCCTTTCTGTCATTGCTTGGAAGAGATTTAATCCTGTTAGTTATGTGGCAAAGTACTATCATGTTTCATTTGCCAAGAACGCCTATATGGATGATCCGCCTGCTTTGTATGGACAACAAGCTTGGCCCGAGGCTATTGGGTAACTTGTTTACCCCCCGAAGTTCAAGGCAATGCCTGGACGTCCAAAGAAGAAGAGGAAGAAAGGGCCTGGGGAGCTCGAGGCAGCTCCACATCGAGCCGGAGGTACCACTTTGGTTAGAAAGAATCTTCCCAACCACTGTACAAATTGTGGGTAGCAAGGTCACAACAAAAGAAAATTCCCGCAACCTCGTAGACAACAGCAAGATGTTGGGGTGAGACTTTTGCTTCATTGCTTGACTTAATTGATATGGATAATAGTATCTTGACAAGGGTTCTTTGTTGATTCTTATTGTAGGCTTCTGGAAGTGGACGAGGAGGTCGAGGTGGAAGAGGGGGTCGTGGCCGAGGTGGTCAAGGTGGTCGAGGTGGTCGAGGAAGCCGAGGTGGAGAGACTCCTATGATTATTGAACAGGCTGAAATTGGTGGATCTCAACCTCCTGCAACCCAACCATCGAATATGTAGTAGTTGGTGGTGTCTGAAGCTAAGTAGTAGTAGACATAGTAGTAATTGCCTTAATGTAGTACTTGTAGTAGTTGACGTATGATAGTCAAGAACTAGTAACTGTATTTCTCTTTTGACAGCACCCTTGTTGGCTGCATTGCTCTTTTGACAGCATCCCTGTTTGCTGCAATTCTATTTTGGCAGCATCCTTGTTGGTTGTATAATCAGGAGAATGATGATTATTTTGGTAATATCAGGTTTATTGTTATGTTGGTTGAATCAAGTTGTTTATTTTGACAGCAAGCTCCTTACTTTTATTTCATAATCACCCCACAATGACACTTGAAAAGTAGAGTTACATTAACTCACAAACCACTAGATATAGAAACTCATGAAAACTCAATGCAACCATACAAAGAGCACTGTCAAACCCACTACTATAAGCACATATGAAACAAACGACAACCTAGTTCCCACCACCTTCAGCTCACGAGATAACCTAACTTTTTCCTCCTTAAGCTTAGCTAAATCATGGCATAAGCAATGCTTTGCCTTATTCCTTTGCTCGCTCTTATCTTCGGCAGCTGTAAATCTCATTTTAAGTGAAGAAATCTGCTTCTTTAGATCATCGTTCTCTGCCGAAAGTGCTTGAACAATATCCTCTTCTCGACCAGGACAATACTGATCCACCCACACAAAGTATTTGCAATCCATCGTTTCTTCCTTCCAAAATGGGCAACGATAAAAATTCTATCCCCGGATTCCTCCCAGTTCCAGAGACAAAAACAACAATTGGACAGTTATGAACGCACCGAGGCGCATGAGAGAATAGCACAGCTCGATTCGCTTAAACTCTTCCCTTTTTTCCTTGTATTCATTGAGACAAACTTAAATTATTAAACCCTCCAATCTGGTACCCAACCCACCGCCGTCAGTCTATCCTTCTCTTGTTATCGATCCGCAACCCCGACGTTGTCTTCGCTACCCTCGGCTTCATATTCCCTGCCCCGATTCCGCCAAATCGCCGTCTCCGCTCCCCCAGCTTCGTCTTTGCTGCCCCCAATAGAAGGAATCGCGCCGTCTCCGCTCCCCCAGCTTCGTCTTCGCTGCCCCCGATTCCCCCAAATCGCGTTGTCTCCGCTATCTGCTCCCCCAACCTGCTCTTGTCTTGGTCACCGCCGCCATCTCTTCGTGCTCTGCTCGTGGAAAGAGATAAAATGAGGAAGATAAAATAGAAGGAATATAAGTGGTGGGTGAAAATGTGGGTGAATTTATTTTTTCATTTAATTAAAAATATAATTCTGACGTGTCGGTGACATGGGAGACACGTGGGGCACAAACTCAACAATATGTTTTTTTATGAAGGTGAGATTTTATTGCAAGAAAGGAACACATGAGAAAAAGTACAGGACCAGAACAATGCACGAGCACAAGGCGTGCCCGAAAAAACGAAAGAAGACAGGGCACAAACTCAACAATATGTTGACCGCCATTAGGTTGACCGTCAAGTCTAACGATCAACGAAACGGGTAGGACAAAACTGACATACGAACTCTAATCTTGGTGACATAAGTGAAGCGGGATAAACATAAGGGTACAAATGACCCAAACTCCAAACTATAGGCCCTTTTCTGGTATTAGGCCTTAGTTTAATGTCAATGTTTTTTAGACTTTAGTTTGTTTATCTTTGTAGTCTCCAAATGCTAGCTTGTACATGTTGTCTTGTAGTTGCAAAGCTTTTGCCTATTTAAACCTAACTATCAATGAGAAACACCCAAGACTTCTAGGGTTTCATTTTTCACAACTCAACTTTGTTGTTATAATATCAGACCCTCTAGATCCTAGAGAACCCTAAAACCTTCAACCCACAAAAATAAGGAATATGTCCAGATCTAAAATTTTCAGATCATAAACGCTTTTAAAAAAAATTCATCTCTTCTACATTGCATCATTTCTCCCCAAAATCCCAGCAATACTTGTTCGCCCAAATCCAAAACCCCTTCTTCCATCTTTGCTTTCCGTGAAACCCATATGCAACCATACAAACCAAGATCCCCAAACCCCAAATCCAAACCTACCGTTCATTACTTTCTCCCCAGAAAAACCCAAAACCAACCATTCAGTTCTAGATTTTCATCACTAGTTCGTCTGCTCTATGACAGTCAAATCCCTCTTTCCGCAACTCGAAGCCGTCGCGTTGGTGTCGCCCCTCTCCCTACCCTCTTGTGGGATTTTTCCAATAATAGCACCCTTTAAAAAATTACAAAAATAGCGGTCAACCCATAGAAATTACAAAATAGCACCTTTGTTTTCAAAACACACCTCCAAGGTGCGTTTTATAAATAAACCGCACGGTGAAGGTGCGTTTTATCTAGAAACTGCACCTTGGGGGTGCGGTCCTTGCCACGTCAGCCAGAAAAACGCATCATCAACGTGCGGTTTGTGTTTCCGACGTAGCGGCCCCCAAGACTATAGGATTAGGCGCGATCCAACGGCAGGCCGCACGCCAGCTCAACAATCCGTGTAGAGGATTGAAGACCGCACCTCCTTGCTGCGGTTTTGCGCCTCGTGAAACGTGAACCGTACCCTCCATATGCGGTTTTGGCAAGGGAAAATTTACTAAACCGCCCCTAGAGGGTGCGGTCTGCAAACCGACGTAGGTGACTCCCTTTCCGGTCTCTTTGCGTGTAACCATTCCACCATAACCCAAGCGTGAACTTTTGGAATGCCATCTGCAAAAAACCCGTAGTTCAGTTAATATCATAAAAATCACAAATAAAAAATCACAATAAAAAGTAATACAAAATAAACTTACGAGTTAACGTTAACCGCAAAACAATAAATAAGTAGGGAGCTACAATAAAACATTGAAAAGGGAGAAGGAGAGGTGTGAAGAGAAGAGGTTTCCCGGGTCTGTCTTATATAGGCAAAATCATCAATGAAAACCGCATTGGGAGGGTGTGGTTTTCATCTGCCATGCAGCCCCACGTCTGTCAACCTGCATGGCAACATGGTGGGTGTCGGGAAAATGGGGACGACACACAAACCTCATGGGGGAGGGTGCGGGTTGTGTGTCGGCAAGGGCAAAACCGCATGTTGAGGGTGCGGTTTGTGTTGGAGAAACAGAACCGCATCGTCGACGTGCGGTTTTTCTAGGTCAGCGAAAGAACCGCACCTAAGCCATGTGGTTCTGTTAGGTCAGACACAAAACTGCATGGCCAAGATGCGGTTTGGCCTAGAACCTTAAACCGCTCTCTCAGGATGCGGTTTTAAAATAAAGGTGCTATTTTTGAAATTTCTGTGAGCTGGGTGCTATTTTTGTAATTTTTTTAATGGTGCTATTTCTGGAAAATTCCCCCTCTTGCTGCAGTTTACCCCAGTCAACTCCAGCTATGGGAAACCTACCGTCAGTGAACCCTGAAGCAACATCGACGACGTGACGGTGATGTCGTTCTCTAATGAAGATAAATAAGCCGAGTGTGAAGAGCCCATTGGCCGAGAATCCACCGCCGTTGGAGGCCTCGCATGAAGAAGCCACAGACAAGGAAAAGAGCGGAGAGAAAAGCAATGACGCCGACTCCAAACCTGAATCTAATTTGGGTCGGTCTTCTTCTTTGGCTTCCGCCTTTCAGTTGAACCCACAACCATGAAATCCAGCCCCACTGCCTCAATCGGACTCGACCTCGCGACCAACAAGAAGTCAACCAACACCAGTGGCGGGAATGCAGAAGAGGAGCGAAGGGAAAATGCGTTCAGTGCATCAAAAAGGGCAAAGCCATCAAAACTCAGCTTGAGGCAGAGGATGATGGCAGATCACAAGGTAATCGTTGGAAGAAGGCCTTGCATACCCACTAGAGAAAAATCAGATGAGGAAGGTAAAAATCTTGACCTTGATGCTGAAATTACCATAGTGAATGAGAAGAAGAAAGTTGCCGAGAATGGAGTTGTTGGTCTAGGACGAGTTAGAGAATTTGCTTGGGTGAAATCTCCCATTACTGTGTGTGAAATGTAAGCTTTGAGTGAAAAGAAAATGATTCAAACAGAGAAGAATGACCAGTTTGTCAAGATTAATTCCATCAAAAGGTTGAATGTTTGCTTGCCGAGTTTCATGATTGTGTGGGAAGGAGAAGCCAGTGCTAGCTCTTGCACAACAGGAGTTTCAATTTTCTTGTTTTGAGTTCAGAGAAAATCAGGAATAAAGAAGAAAGAGAAACTGCAAGTTCAGAGACAGCCATTAAAAAAAAAGAAATTTGCAATCAGAAGAGAAGATGTTCCTTTTCGAGCAACAGAAAGAAAAGACGGCAACTTGTGATGATGCAGCAGAGGGAAGAAGCTTACTCCCATGTTGAGTATGAAGTCAAATTTTTTTGGAATACTTGCTAGCTAAAGAAGCAGTAGCATATCCTCATCAAGTTGGAGGAGTAGAGGGAAGTAGCCAACAGTGCACTCCCCTACTGATTTCAGTATGTTTCTGGTAGGAATGATAGCTAGCTAAAGATGCAGCAGCATATCCTAACCAAGTTTCAATCCATCTGAAGCAAAAAAAAAAAAAAAGCTAAAGATGTGAATGTTCAGCCAACTAGCCAAGATGCAACGGCGTTTTCGATGGAAGGAATGCTAGCCAGCCAAGAAAAAGCAGCAACATATCCTCATCTACTTGGAGAAGCAGAGGGTAGTAGTCAAACATTATACTACCATAATGACTTCAAGGTTTGTTCTTGAAAGGAATTGGTAGCTTGCAACAAAGAACATCATATCCTATCCACATTTGCTTGGAAGGAATGCTAGCTAGCAACAAAGCAGCAGCATCACTTATCCACATTGAACACTTGGAAGGAATGTTAGCTAGCAAGAAAGGTGCAACATATCCTATCCACATTGAAAACCCAGGTAAAACTTATTTTGAAGTTTGAAGGGAAGTTAGCTAGCCAAAAGTGCAAAGTGCAGCAAGATTCTCATTCTCAAGTCAAAATTATATTCCCTCCAAGGTTGGTGTGCACATTTTATGCTCACCCGGTTGCGGGAGGGGGGGGGGGGGGTGTAACAGGAGATATTGAAAGATCGTCAAGACTCAAATCGGCGACCATGAATGTCAAAGTGGATCGACAAGGTTTCGAGAAAATCATCATTATCAAGTTTAGTTTAGTTTAATGTCAATGCTTGTTTATCTTTGTAGTCTTCAAATGCTAGCTTGCACATGTTGTCTTGTAGTGCAAAGCTTTTGGCTATTTAAACCCAATTATGAATGAGAAACACCCAAGACTTTTAGGGTTTCATTTTCCACAACTCAACTTTGTTGTTACGCAAGCAACTGGACATTCAAGAAACAGGAGCTAAACAATCCCACTACTGCTAAATGAGCAAATCGCCAACTTAATAAGGTGCACTATTGGATTTCCCGGTAATACAGGTAGGGATGGCAATGGGTCAGGTCGGGTGCGGATAGTGCATATCCGTTACCCTACTCATAGTAGTTCGGGTTTTACCCATATCCATACCCACATGTGAAACGGGTAGAAAATTAAAACCATGCTCATACCCGTTCGGGTTTCGGGTATCCACGGTTATCTATGGGTAATAATTTCTCTTCATAACTCCAAACAATATGTTAACATTCACACGTATTCTCACATTACGTAAGAGGAAAAGTACGACAATAATTCACTAGAATGAAGAAAATTAATTAAAACTACACAATTTCATGAAAATATTATATTCATATGCTAAATATAAAATAGGAAAAATACACTTGTGTAGCCAAAACTTTGACGGTTTGGCAGAATATAGCCACGTTTGACGAAATACCAAAAATAGCCAGTTCTGTCCAATTGTTTAACGGTGTTAGTTAACGTGCTGACTGGACTAACAGCAGCGGATGACGTGGCATATTTTACTCAAAAATAATATTAGATGGATAATGATCAAAATTTTATTCTTTATTTTAATCAAATAAAATAAAAAAATCACTTCTCCTAAGCAATCACCCCCACCGCCTAATTTCCTTCTTCATCTTTTTAATTATTAATTACATAAGAAAATATAAAAAAACTAAGAATTAAAAAAGAGATATTTGTCCGTAATTTCCTTCTTCATCTTCTCCGTTCCCACATTGACATTCCCACTCCCTGCCCCCTAATATTTCGAGAAGAAAATTCCAGTATCTCCCATCGATCGACGAACCAATTAATCGACGAGCCTTTATCATCAAAAAAAGATATAATTGATTGTATCTGATTGTCGGTGAAATTCCGCCGCTTTCTTCTCCGAAGATCTGGTTGCCATCACGGTGGAAGAAAATCGCTTGCATGCAGCGGCTGTATCTCCAGGTGATTATTGTGGTGAAAAGTAGATGGAAGAGGCCAAGAGGGGGTTTCTAGCTCGTGGATCTGGGGTTTACGAGAGAGGTGGGATTTTTGGGAAAGAAAAGAGGGATCGAAGATCATATTGATCGGCGAGGCAACGACGGGGGAGAGTGAGGTGTTGGGCGCCAGCGACTCGTCTTCATCTCCATCTCTCTTCGTCTTCGATGGCTGAGCTTATTGGCGGCGATTTCAATTAAAATCCCCAAATCATATGAAAGCCCTCTCTATTAGATCTCTCTCTTCCCCGGTGCAGATCTCCGATTTTGGATTTTGGTCACGGACAAGATGAAGCGAACAGGATGGCGCAGGCGGTGAAGAGAAACGATTCCCGAATCGGAGGTTTTCGGCTGCTAAACCCACTGGTCAATGATTCCCGAGACAGATCTATTGATTTGGGGACAGCTCCCTTGAGTTTCAGTCGTGAGGAAGAACAGAACATATCTACTAATTAGGGAGCTTGGGTAGCAGATCGAGAACCCTAGAGTTAGGGGGAAAATCTCTACTTTTGGATATCGGGTGTTGGATGCTTGCTTTTGTTTTTGCTGGGTTATTGCATATGACGGCGGGGGAGCTGCAAAAGACGCCGACGATGGTGTGAGAGGAGAGAGGACGAGAAAGTAATTTGTGATTTTTATTTATTTTTAAAATTAACATATGATATGGTATCTATGTGGCAAGTTGTTGATGATGTGTCCGATGAGTTGGCAGCCACGTAGGTATTCTGTTAATTTGATTAACGGTGTCAATGACGCCGTCAAACTATGTAACGGAAATGGCTATTATTGTCATCAAACTTTCAAATTTTCGGCTATTTTCGGTATTTCCCCAAAAGTGGCTATTATTGTCACAAATGTCAAAGTTTTGGCTATACAAATGAATTTTGCCTATAAAATATGTTAGAGAAAAATAATGATTATCTTTAGACAAAATACATATGCATGTGTATAATCGGGCGGGTTCGGGTTGGATAGTGAAAAATCCATGCCCACCCATTACCCGCAATATTCGGATTTGGATTTTACCCGTACCCACTAAATATCCTTCGGGTTCGGGTTTTACCCTACCCGATTAGGCCGGATTCGGGCGGATGTCCACGGATACGAATATTTTTGCCATCTCTAAATACAGGAGCTATATATTTCGACGATGGAGCACATCATGGCTTTTAGTTTGTCCTTTTTATCATTAGTTGTTGGGGGAAAACTCAATCATTATACATGAGCATGATCGCATGTAAGATGTAAGAGGGCATGATTTAAATTTTGATTCATCACAATCCTCATCCAGTGGCGGACCCAGAAATTTTTCATAGGGGTGTCCTCTTTTAAAAAATTAATTAAATAAAAATAAAATTGTAAATATGAAAATACCTTACTCGTACAGGTAAAAAAATTCATGATGTGTTTTCATATTCGAAATTAATTGTAGAATACACTTGGTGTTTATAGTATTAAAAAAATTGTCTCTATATACACTACTAGACAATCATTCACGAACTTATCGCATATTCAATTTGTAAACTTGTTCTTGATATGACCCAAAGTTGAAAGATTCTTTCAACACTTGCCGTACAATCATAAAATCAATAGAAATTAAGGGTAGTTTGAAATTAGTTTAATTGTTAGGTTTTTAAAATAATTAGAGATAGGGAATGCCATTTTACTATTACACATTATTCAAAATCGAACAACAAATGAGTTTAGCTCAACGGAAATTAAGTTTATTAATAATAATAGTATTCTAGATTTGAATTATCCAACCTACCACTTATATTCCTATACACAAATGATAGTAGGATAATCATTTTTTCAAATTTAAGGGGTGTCCCTCACTATCAATTATATTTTTTTTGCCCATACATAAATTACCACTGGGGGTTGGATAATCGTTTTCTCAAAATTTAGGGGTGTCCGGGGACAACCCTAAACCACCCTGGGTCCGCCCCTGTCCTCATCCTCAAAACAATATATGGAGGTTCTCTTTGAGGACCCAAACACCCAAGCATTGAAGGAGTTTTTATACATTTTATTTAATCCTAATTACAGCTTCAATTTAGGCCCAAATCAATCCGTAAAAGACACCATATATAATTACTATCACCCAATAAAGAAACTTATTTGGGTTTAGGTAGCAAATTGATTCTCGACTAAACCCTAATACTAAAGTGAATTTATATTTTTTCGTTGTGTTTATCAAATTGATTCACAAAACCAATAAACAAAATGAATCAGACATAATTAGCTCAAGATGACATCACGCTAAAAGCCTTCAAGGAGAACTTTTGACATGCATAGTTGATATTAAATATGCCCAGTACAATCCATTAGTTTGACATTTGTTTTCTTCTTTATTTTTTTACAAAAGATAATCATTTGCATTGATTAGAAAAAGAAATCATTACATCATGGAATTAAGCCAAAATAAAAAATTAAAGAAACGACACATTGACGGGTACAATGAAATAGTCTTCATATTCACTAAATAGGCTACCCTATTAATACCCCGACCTATAAATAGTTTGACATTCGATTTCGATCTATCTATTATTAAAGTCTATGTTGGTCTATAAGATAACTTATTTTGTCAATAAATACAATTTATTAGTCAAATCTTTCAATTTTTTGAATTAGTAGCAAAACCTCCCGAAATACAAAATATTAGCCATTTATATGTTATCGTTAGTGGTTTTGTAACTCTTTTCTTTGTTAAAATACTAAAATATTGGAATGTTTATCGTCATGAGTTTCTTAATAATCAGTATAATGTTACCAAGTCAGTATTACTAGCAAACTGCTAACTACGGGAAGTTAACATTTGGCTGATATTTTGTATTTTGAAAATTTTGGCTAATAATTTGAAAAGTTTGAGAGATTTCGTTAATATATTGTATTTACCCTTATATATACAAGACTTCAAAAGTAAGATGACTAACTTATAATCCAAGAGAAACATATTAGTAAGTTGCATTAAGCATGCCAAAAAATTCAGTGATTGGACTTATTGAAATTTAATAGATTTATCGGAAAAGTTACTAGCAAAAGATCCACGAAAGCTTCTCTATTCTAATTCTTTCAATGTGCATTTTAATTCCAAGTATAATATATAATTTGGGTATAGATGACTGATTGTGAAGGTTACTTTGTGGACAGGACATGCATTTGAATCAATGTTATTTATTGTGTGTTATAAGTTAGCCGTTTCAAAAATACCACCTCCTCCTGCGAGAGTAAAAAAACAAACCCATCTACCAACCACCACCAAAACAATGCAAGAGCTCATGAATTAAAAATCAAGGACGGAGAGAAGGTAAATTTAGTTTCAATTTTACGACTAATTAATATTCAAGTGCTATCTTTTATGTAATATTTAGAACAATATAATGTTGTCAAAGTTAGGAATGGGTAGCAATATGCTTTATGCGAAAACCTATCCACAAAAAGTCAAAGTGATAGGCACTTTAGTAGGAATTGTACAACAATGTTAAATATAGGTAGATAACAATCTATCTTTACTCTTTCATTCTTTTTAACTCCAAATTCATTCATTCAAAAAAGAAGCATTGTCTCCCTAAATTTCAATTGTTGTTATTTTACATATTCGATATCCATCTCTGAATGGTGGAAAGAAGCTATTGAAGTTGACTTTGTGGTTTTGGATAACTAAAGAGCTAGATTTTCCGTAATGCCTGCCGAGAAGCTAATCTAAGATAGTGGTAGAATTTGAGTACCTCCACCTACTTATCTTCTACAAAATAAGTAAATAGAGTTGGAATTAGACAACAAACTCACTAATTAAAACATCGCTAACCTCATTAGTGAATATACAAATTTTAAAGATAAATAAGAATGACAAAGAGTAAATCAAGACTCTGACTGTGTAATTTTTACTTCCATAAAAATGATGTTTTCATTTTTATAGACGTTTATCATTAGATTTTTTATTTATTTCGGTGGAATGCAAGAAAAGAAGAAAGAGTCTATTGATAGTAGACATAGTGGATACGGTGAAGATACCGACATTGTTGAGAAGAAGGAAGAGACTGTTGATGGTGTAGATATAAGTTTTTGTGTGAGGAGAAAGAGAAAATCTCCGACAATGTTCATGACTTCGACATGATGTTTCATATTGCATATATTTTATCATTAAATTTTGACTTTCAATGAAATGCAAGAGAAGAAAGAAGAGACTATTGGTGGTTGACTTAAAGGTGAATGGAGAAGAATTAGTTGATATTGGTGGATATGATTATTTGTTGATGGCTGAGCAATCACAAAGAATGTGTCAAATATGAAGTAATTTCCAACGAAGTGTAGTTTGATTAAGTAAGACTTCATCAATGATTTTTTCTTTTTCTTTTCGTAAGAACTTCATTGCATGAGTTTTTTTTTTAATTTCTGTACGGACTTAATCGATGAGTTAGTTAGGATGTCGGAAAACTCTATAGCATATACTTCTTTTCAAAAAATTTAATAATAAAGTAATTCTATTCTCTTATGATATTTAATAAATTTACATATTTTACATTGTACCATTGTTATTAATGATTATACCCATTAATAATATGTATCCGACCAACGGGCCGGGACTTAGTCTAGTTAAGTCCACTAGGTTATTTCCTATCGCCGCCATTGGGGAAATAAAAATAAAATAAAATTTATTATGCAACAATTCAAATACCACATCGATAATAAAATGGAAGAGAATCTTGTATATTAGTGTCCACCAAGCCCATTAGCACGAGTCCTTTTGGTAAGGAATCCAAAAGTAAAACCGTGTTGGCTTGGCTCAAAAAGGACAATATCGTACTAATGAGCGACTCGGTTTCGACAAGTGGTATTAGAGTATGGTTCAGTTCGGGGCAGTGAACATTAGTTTGGTGGGACCCTCATTCGGTGACCTCAGTATTTGAGATCTGGAGATATGCATATGGAAAAATTCTTGTACCGAGAAGCCCATCGATACAAGGTGTCCGGCAGACCAAAATAACTCCCGAGGAGAGGTCATTAAGTTCATGGTCATTGTCTTAAGGGGAGGATTGTTATGGAACAATCCAAGTACCACATCGGTAATAGAAGGGAAGTGAACCTTGTATATTACTGTCTACCAAACTCATTAGTAGTTCTATCTAGTGTTGTTAAAGCGAATCGAAGCGGTCAGTTCGACAGATATAGCCGGCACCCGGCCTCCAATTCGGCCCGGTTAGGCTATTTAGCCGCCACGGTTTAACTGTGGCTTTGCGCGCGAACCACCCAGTTAATCGGACGAGCCGTTCGAACCACTCATGGGGTTTTACCGTCAAAATCCCACCTGACTAGATTCGTAGAGGATAAGAATCTAGAGAAATGTGAGAAGGTTTGGAATTGAACCTAGCACCTCATAGTGTAAAACTAGGTCTTTTTCCAATCAGGCTGGCACGAATTTGTGAAACAAAAGCTTTAAAGTCTATTTATTAATTCATCACACAGTGTTTAATTTTTAAAAAAAATCATTAAATAGGGTTTTCACTTTTGAAAAATCACAAATACTATACTTAAATAATTTATATTTTTGTAAAATAATAATCTTTACTTGCGATATATAATTTTTTATTAGGAATATATTAGAATCAATATATGATTATAATACTATTAATGGTTTCTACTTATAATAATCTTATTTATTAGACACCGGTTCGTTAAGTAGTTTATAGCGGCTTAATACTGGTTAAACCAACAAAGTGTGAACCATTTACTTTACCGGTTCATATACCGGTTCAGTTTTGACAACATTGGTTCTATCGCTAGTCTTTTAACTTCAAATCCCATATGTAGATCCCTTTAAGCAACTCACAAGAAAAATAAACCTATATATCACAATCGTACCAATTTTATCTGATGTTTCTGAAGAGACATCATAGAATAGTATAGAAGCCAACCGTCTAGAGGGAAATTACTTGGACAAATTTATAATTCCGAAGGCAATTTCTGCGGATGTTTGGTCTGTTGTTTTTCGGGTAAGTTGGAAGTTTCATTTTTGCTATTAAAATTAGTTTATTTCATTCATGGTGACTAAAATTAATTCAACCGTTCAAGTTTAGTCAGTCTCCATTGACTTTATATGATGTGGCAGTCAATTCTGAAGGTTGACCATTAAATAAGTGACGGCAATTAAAAAAATAAAATATTTAAAAAATCCACCTCATTATCACAATAAATTGCAATGATTTAATAAACAAAAATTTCTAATTACAATGATTTTTTTGTTTTATTTATTTTTTGATTTCCTATCTTCCAATAATAACCAAAATTAAAAAGCAACCACCGTCCTCAACCCCACTCCAATCCCCAATCTTCTCCCATCCAACCATCGTCTTCAACTTCCCTCGAGATCGCCGACACCGTGAGCTGCCTCTCAATGACCACAAATTCGTTAAGCCTCTTCTCGAAGCTCCGCGCCAACAACGATGACATCGTCGTGTTCGAGAACCAAATTACGATATACTCTCTGTTTCCCCCTGAAATTTCGACGATTGGGGCTCTGATGATGGGGTCTTTCTGCTGTCGTAGAGGAGCCAGGAGGGTTCGTGGCCGTCTTTCCTTTGGATTAAGTACTCCATCTCAGTGTTGCCAACGAGAGCTCTGCTTCCGATGATCTTGTCGACCACGTTGTAGTCGACCTCGCCTTGGATTGGTTGCTGGGTCTCTTAGTCTTGGACGACGGAGAGGGTAATGGTGCAAGCTTTATGAATTTGGTGGGGAAGCCAGAGGAGCAACCGCCAAACGGAACTCACAATCTGACGTGTGACAACCTCACGCGTCGGGAACTTCAAATACGAAAACTAAAGAAAACTGAAAATACTAGGGTTTATTCTTCTTCAATAAATTAAACGTAAGGGTTAAGTACATATTTATAGGACGCATCCCATAAACCCTCTCCCCCTCAAACATGGTAACCCAAACCGAGTCCAGCTCCTAAACAATTTACTTCCTAAACAAGAATAATCCGAATACTAATATGATAATAAATGAATAAACCGAGAAAATATCCAAATAGGTATAATAATAAATAAACCGACACTACCCCGGCGCGGCTCTAACCGCGCAAATGCATCAATCCTCCCCCCTTTCGAAAGCCTCATCCCGAGGCTGCAGCTCGGCTCCACCCTTCCCACTTGGTTCAGTCCCGAAATCCCCGATCATGACGAACACATGGTTATTAGCACAACGATGACCATAGATGAATCGTTCATCATAGTTGTAGGAGAGCCCATCCCTCCTACGCCTTGCAACCTCTTCTGGTGTCAAGTTGCGTATAGTATGACTTGGAGAGCGGGTGTGGTGGTCCTCGCTCGGCCATTGGTGGAGTACCTGGCGCGGCCACGACAGCAGCTGTCGGCTGGGAGTTTCCGGTTCACACCCTTGGCGCCGCTGGGGTCCCGCGTGAGGTAGCTCCCATCGCAGCTTTCTCTACCCGTATCTCTTCTTCCCGTATCTTAGCCAATCGATACGTGTCGCCAGTATTTTGTGGATTAAATGCGCGGATGTAGGCTGAGATTTCAGGTTTCAGTCCTCCCTTATAGGTGCCCATGATCACTTCCTTCCCCCACCACGGCAGCGATTGAGCAGTTTCTCAAACGTCTGCTGGTAATCTTCCACGGTCCCCGTCGGCCTAATATTCACCAGCGCCTCATGCCCTGAAGCTTTCTACGAGGCTCCATACCTTTTTCTGAACTCCTCACGGAAATCCTCCCACCACATTTCCTTACCACTTTGTTCGAACTCCTCTTCCAGCCACATAACCCATTGGTTGGCATCTCCTTCTAGGTGGAAAGAAGCCAAAGCCACCTTCTGTTCATCAGAAATTCCCTGGTACTTGAAATACTTCTCCGCCCTTGACATCCAGTCGGATGGATCTTCATGAACAGTGAAGCGTGGGAACTCGATAGTAGCAGTCCGACCTTTGAACAGAGCCGCCGCAACTTCTCCTCTCACCTCCGATCGTCCCGGGCCCCCAGCTTCCCGGTTCGACTTGCTCGGCTCAGCCCGGTCAGCTACTCCCTGCTTCCCGGCCTCATCGTTCGACCGATCTCGATAAATATAGGACGCATCCCATAAACCCTCTCCCCTCAAACATGGTAACCTAAACCGAGTCCAACTCCTAAACGATTTACTTCCTAAACTAGAATAATCCGAATACTAATATGATAATAAACAAATAAACAGAGAAAATATCCAAATAGATATAATAATAAATAAACCGACACTACCCCGTTGCGAACCTAACCGTGCAAATGCATCACAACCTCTTTGCGTTCGATTCAATTGAAGGGAGTGACAGAGGGGAGGAGAGACTGGAGAACCCTACTCGTTGAATCATCGCCATCTCTTCCCGAATTTAGACCGAGAATCCCAAAACCCATAAATCACCAAATCATTCCACCGCCAATTCATCGCCATCTCTTCCAAACTTTCTAGATTGAGAACTGTAATCGCTGCCGCATCTCTCTCGGTGGGTCCCTTCCTCTCCCCAACTCGAGATTCGGAGACAAAGAACCCCTCTATGTAACTCCAGCTGTGAAGAAACTGACAGTCGTCGCGAACGTGTCACAACAACGGTGAGTAAGGCCACCGGCAACAAGTCCCCAAGGCAGAAGCTAGCAACCTCCGGTTCGGACTTTCGTCGAGTGATTTTTGGGGCCGAAGGGGAGAGGGACTAGGTTATTGACCTGAAAGGCGATCGTGGGCTTTAGGGAATAAAAAATATTTTTATTTTTTAATAGTAAGTGAGGTGGAAATTTTAGAGATTAAATTTTATTTTTACTATATTTTTAATTTCCACGCCACCTATTTAACGATTAACTCTAAAAGTTTACTGCCAAATCAAATAAAGTTAACAGATACTAATGAAGACTAATGGAGAGTGACCAAACTTAAACCGTTGAACTAATTTTAGTGATCATGAATGAAATAAACTAATTTTAGTGACAAACATGCAACTTCATAGTAATTTAAGTGACCAAACTTGCAATTTACCCGTTATTTTTCACTCGGCCTATGAAAGTGGGAGAGATCCTTCTCATGGATCTCAGGCCTAGTTCGTGCACTTATTTGAAGGCCCAAATTTGGCTCCTCATACTTATGACATTTTTGCAGTCCTAGAAAATCACCTGATAAGCTCGTAGCCCGTAGGATTAGAAATGTTCAAATGGTCACCAATGTAATTATCAAACCAAATAATGCTAAATTCTATTAATCGTGGAATACGATATCATAATCAAACCGAACAAACTAATACAATATCAAATTAACCAAACTAAAGTTCAATAAGTTTGGTTAATTCGTTAACTAGATTAACCAATATAACATCAGATTATCATTAAGTGAGAAAAATCTACGATTAATGCATCAATTCACAATTTGTATAATGAATAAAACATAACAATCAATACATAGTTATGGTTAACTCTTAACATAAATACATGTAACCAATACAATTATATTACAGTCAATAGAAGTATTCATGTAACAAAAATATATGTCAATGGTACGGGGTTACATTGACTTGGTCTCACACCAATTATCTTAGGTATCTTAGGCTAAAAATACCAAACTTTCAAGTTTTCATCCACCATAATGCATGAATTTTATCTAAATTAAGCGTCTATATGTTGCGGTCTACCTATATAGAAACGATGTTGGGCTTTATTTTATATAAGTCTAAGAGGGAGGTAAGTTTGACTGTAAGAGTAGTTATGCAAAGTATTAAGTATGTGTATATAATATTTATTAGATATGTGACTAATTACTTAACTGGTTAATTTGGTTTGATTGGTTAGTGTTGTCTGAAACCAAACCAAACCACTTAAACCAAACAAGCTAAAAAAATTAACCAAACCAAATCGTTATCCAAATTAACCAAATCAAATTATCCAAATACTACCTATTAAAATGGTTGCCACAGAAAACACACCGTTTGAACATCCCTACGTAGGATGATGTCAGGGGATTGATGTGGGATCAATTTCCTATATATTTTGAAATTTCGGTTTTTAAACTGAAACTACTATTGATGTAAATAAAATTAAATTGACATATAATATGACATATCAAAATTTATTCGTATTCTAGAAACTCATATGCACCATACTCAGATAATCATATATAAAGTTTTTTATATGATATGAAAGTTTTCTTATTCAATAATAGTTTTACTGTTTAATAAAAAGTTGTTTACAAAAGTAAGAAAAAATGAGCAAGAATTTGATCTAACATATAATTATAATACTTGAGCGATATGAATGGTTGAAGTATTGAAGCGAATGAATATCAACCATAATTATAGCACGTATTCGGATTGGTTCAGTACATATACTTATATCAAAACCATACCAAACTCAATATCCTTTTTGTTAAAATCAGGAAAATACCACACAAAAGTAAAATATCGAATGAATTTTCCCATACTAAATCAATTTGAATTCGATTGAATATTCATGTAATCTGAGCAAATATAGTTATAAAAAAAAATGAATCAATATAGCTCTGTGTTGGGATCTCCTTATTTGATTTATGTCTTTTTTGACCTCAAGATAGTTGTATTACCAGGTGAGGGCTCCTGGGATTATTTCCTGCTCTTCCATTCTCTTGTTATTGAAGAGATGGTAACCTTTTTCCTTACAAAAGAATCAGATAATTGCTCTGAATCTATGATTTATTTCCATAGAACAAATATAGAAGATCTGTTTTATACCCAATCCACCCAAGATTTACCTAGTACCAGCTAATTAACATAATGATCGAGACTAAACTGCCACAACCGACAGATTCAATCACAGTCATACAAGCAGTGAATTTGTCTTTTGACCAAGCCACAAAAAGGAACCTCAGTTGGTAGCACACTCTACTTCTAGACAAACTCAAGAGAATAGTGGTCCAATAGTAAAAAAATTATTTTAGGATTAATGACCGGATCAATAGTGCATTCGGTTCGCTTTGGTCTGATCCAAATGTCAATTAGGTCCATTTTTCTTTAGTATTTATAAAAATCATATGGGATCAAGGATCAGATCATACTATATTTGATTTGGTGTGGTTTGGTCCAAACATCGATTCGATCCAGTATAATCCAATATGAACCAATCCATTGCCCACTCCTACAAATATGTATTTCACTTCAATCTCGACAAGTTCCAACCCTCCAACGAAATGCACGTGCATTAGGCTTCTTCAAATACATTTAGGGTTAGTTTCAACATAATATTTGCACATATTAAACTTTTGGACTCGTTACAATTCACAAATAGTAACGATGTTAATTGCTTTCGGTAACGGTGTCCATGCAATCTGACACCACCACAAAAATTCCGAAACATTCATATATATATATATAGTGCCGTATTTTGAGCACCCAAGTGCACCCGCCTCATAATTGTCATTCTGACCATGTGATTCATGTCAAAACGGTATCAATTGTTGCTTATGATATTATGAACAAGAAGCACATGAATTTGAAAAAAATCATTCAAAATTTACTTTAATTCGAAGGATTTAGGATTTAGGGTTTAGTTTTACAATTTGGGATTTTGGGTTGGAATTCAAAATTGAATGTTAAGGGGTTAGGACAATGGATTGATTTGTAAGGAAAAATCTGATTCTTTTCAAGAGAAGGAAATCGCCCAAACCACAACTGGGCACAAGAGAAGGAAAGTCAGAGTGACTCGGGATAAGTAATCGGGATGTTTGATGATGATTGACGAATGGGAATCAAAGGATTTCAAGGTTTGTTTGAGCAAGAAATAACCCAATCTCCAGGACACTCTAGATGAAGCCGAAGGTGGATCTCGAACATGGATTTTTTTTTCTTTTTTCTGTTGATAGAGATGCTCTAAGGGAAGTATGTTTTCTGGGTTTTGACGTATGAGGTGATGGTGGATTTGGAGGAAGTTGGTGTCATACCTTGATATTGAGCAAGTAATATAATGAATCAAATTTTGATGGAGAAAAAAATTTACCGACTAAATAAATTTGGGTGTCGATAAGTATGGCTAACAAAATCAAGGTACTATAATGCAAAATACGACTGCCAAAATTGTTGGGGGACTAAAGTGTGCATATAAATATTTAATGGATGGAATTAGTAATTATAATTATAATTAATAAATAATTTTATCATCATTTATGATGACCGTTAAATTAGATCAACGGTGCAAAGGCTTGGAGCATCGTATGTGTCAGGAGCATACGAGTCGTATCCATATATATATATATATAAAGCTAAAGTGAGTTTACTATTGCATAAAATATTACAATTTAATACCCCAAATTTAATTAAATCACAACTTAGACATTATTGTCAATCAAACCGCGGAAATCATGTAAAGAACACAACGCACAAGATTACGTGGTTTCCCTATTCATTGTGAACAGGACTACTCCACGGAGAGCGGCAACTCTCCATTAATAATACTATCACCAATAAAACCGAACATAATTACATGGCCGAACCCTCATTTATATAGCCTCATATGTCGGCTAACCCTAGATCTCCTACACTAAATATATTTACATATATATCCCTCATTAGGTACATTAACAGCCTCCCCCAAATCAATGAGCGGTACGCAGCATCAATTTGCCAGAAAGAAACCAATGTCGAGAGGAGGACACAACCTTCGTGAAGACATCTGCAGTCTGGTCCTCAGAAGTAATGTAGGAGAGCTTCAAACATCCATCAGCAACAAGTTCCCGGATGTAGTGGACATAGACCTCGATGTGTTTTGTTCGGTCATGCAAAACTGGATTATTCGCTATCTAAATAGCGCTAGTATTATCACCATAAAGGCGCATAGGTAGGGATATAGGAAAACCAATATCTTCAAATAATCGCCTAAGCCATATGAGCTCAGAACTAACCTCAGACATCGATCTATATTCCGCTTCCGTAGATTACTTTGAGACCTTGTCCTGTTTGCGACAACCCCAAGAGATAAAAGCACTGCCAATTTTGACGCACCATCCAGATGTAGAGCATTTAGTGTCAATACATCCTGCAAAGTCAGCGTCCGCATATGCCTCCAAAACTGGCTCACCACGCGAAGGAAGAAAAAGTCCAACATCACTAGTAGCCTGCAGATAGCGGAGGATTCGATGAACAACGTTGAGTACCATTAGGGAGAGGATCACCATCTTCTCGACTAAGCCTTAAGTTCTGTTCCATGGGAGTGGAGCTCGAAAGACGTTCATTGAATTGAGCCTGCTGTAATAAGTCTCCAGTATACTTGCGCTGAGTGAGAAAGATACCATTATCATTTCGCTGAACCTCCAACCCCAAAAAATAATGCAATCGCCAAGATCCTTGATATGAAAAGCAGAATTGAGCGCATCAGTAAGCTCCCGAATCCCATCAACGTCGCTACCCGTGAAGATCATGTCATCCACATATATAAGAAGAAGAAGAACAATTCCATGAATAGTCCGATGAAGGAAAAGAGATGGATCACTTGTACTCTGACTGAAACCTTTTTGACGGACTGTATGATGGAATTTCTCAAACCAAGCTCGGGGAGCTTGTTTGAGATCGTACAATGAGCGGTGTAGGAGACATACCATAGAAGAATCACCCTTAAGATAATGAGGAGGGCGTTCCATATACACAGTTTCTTTCAGATCGCCAGGTAAGAAGGCATTCTTAACATCCAATTGTCGTAGTGGTCAATTACGCAACGAAGCAATGGCAAGAATGCTACGAACAGTCTGCATACGAACGACCAGAGCAAAGGTCTCATCATAGTCAACATCGAAGTCCTAGCTAAAACCTTGGGCAACGACACGAGCCCTATATCTCTCCAAAGTACCATCGGGAAGAATTTTGATGGCATAGACCCATCGGGATCCGATGACCGGAACAGACAAAGGAGGGCGGGGGACTATGTCCCACGTGTGTTGGGCCTCTAAAGCCCCAATCTCCTCCTGCATGGCCGCATCTCATAACGGGTTCCCCTTCGCTTGACGATAATGACGTGGAACTTCGATGGGAGCAGTAGCATAGGTGACATAATTATGCGAGAGATACAGAGGGGGTTGCCCACGAGTGGCGCATTGAGAACAACGAAGAACAACAGGATATGGGTCGGCGAGTGGTGAAGAAGGAGGTAAAGGAGGTGGGGAGTCACCTTGGGGAGTATGGTCTATAATATAAGGATCATCATCATCGTCCATCATCTCTGGAAGGTGCTGAATGAGGAAGTCAAAAGAGTCTTCCCGCGTCGTGGAAGATGCACCATCATGATACGTAACATGTTCAAAAAATATAACATCCCGAGAGATCCTGAGACGGCGGTGAGTTGGATCATAGCAAAGAAAACCTTTATGGCGGTCGATGTAGCCAACAAAGAAACACTTGGAAGTCATGGAACTAAGCTTATGGCGTTCTCGAGGAGCCAGCAGGACGAGGCAAAGGCAGCCAAACACACGGAGTTGAGAATAGTCCGGTTGTTTTGAGTATAGCGAGTAATATGGAGACTGATTCTTCAAAATCAAGGTGATATGATGATTAATAACATGAAAGACTGTATGATAGCCTTGACCCAAAAATGAGGTGGTACGCGGGAGTGGAGAAGAATAGCTCTAGCAAGTTCCAAAACATGGCGGTTCTTGCGCTCCACTACCCCGTTTTACTGATGAACGCCAGGACAAGACTGCTGAGATGGAATACCTTCGTTCCTAAAGAACGCATGAAGAGGAGAAGAATTGAATTCCCCCAGGATCAGAACGGAGAACCTTAACTGTTTTAGAGAATTGTGTTTGAATCATACGGATAAAATCCTGAGCAATGGCAGCCAATTCAGACTTGGGACAAAGAAAATATACTCATGTGTAACGGGTGGCCTAATCGATGAATAGAGCGAAATGCGATAACCCAACCGCGGAGTCACAGGAGAGGGACCCCACAAATCACTATGAACCAGCTGAAATGGCTCATTAATCTCACTAGTACTAGCATCAAACGGTAATTGAGCCATTTTTGCCACAACACAACTAAGACAGCGAGAGGAGGGAATCAAAGAAGTATCCAACTTATCAGGAAGTAAATTATTCTTAAACATCTCACGTAACCGCAAAGTATGAGGGTGGCCCAACCGACAATGCCACAAATCCCAAAAATTAATTGAACAAGTAGCAGGAAAAGAAGAACCCAACACATGATCCCCAAAACCTCCGGGTGACCCCATCCACGCATGCTGGCCAGACGCCGATCCAGTGAGAGAGGCACCAACCTGAGGGATCAAATGATCAAGCTAATAGAGTCTACCTTGCTTACTCCCGCGGTCCATCGTCTTCCTCATCCGTGGGTCTTGCACAATACACCCCTGTAGATCAAATAGAATATGATAACCCTGGTCTGCCAACTGACCAACACTAACCAAGTTGGGAACCAACTGTGGGACATAGAGGGTATTATCAAGTGCTATAGGAGAGTCACGAAGTGTACCCACACCATCAACTGAGATATGAGTACCATCAGCAACTTGAAGAGACACATGCTTAACAGGATGTAAGTGAGGAAACAAGGAATTTAGGTGAGTCATGTGATTTAATGCAGCAGAATCCAAAAGCCATTTGGAGGTACCTGTATTGGGAGCAGCAGTAAACGCAACATTCAAGGCCGTGGGAAGTACGCATTGAAGAGCTTGCTGAAGTAAAGCATCTAGGTTTTCATTAGTGATGCCAGGAAGATGGGGAGGAAGCAGAGCGGGAGGAGCAGGTTGTGGGTCAGGACGAGTGTTAGGAGCAACACCAAAAGCATTACCAGGCGTGGGAGCAGGACGAGGCGGGCGGTTCCGGAGATGAGGGCAGTCCAGGATGATGTGTTCCATACGTTTGCAGTACGTACATAGATTGCGAACACGACAATGGGGTTGAATATGGCCAGGATCCTAACAATAATGACATTGCACATCACCCGTTGACGAGGAGGCAAACTGAGAACGCAGAGTGGATGGCGCGGACTGGGGAGGAGGAGCAACACGACCCCCACTACCAGAAGGCGGAGCTGCACTGCGACGATAAGAAGAGGAAGCAGCAAAGGCAGCATTAGTGTCATGAAGCTGGCTATCAACCTGTGCCTGAGTAGACAGACGACGTTCCTCCCGCTGAAGCTCGGGAAGAGAGGCTTCAACAGTAGTAATATTCTGGCTAAGAAGAGTAGTCGAAATGGTTTCATACTCAGGGCGCAACTTCGAAAGAAACTGCATTAACCGGTCCTTCCTCTGCACTTGACGAACCTCAGAGGAAAGGGGCTGGGTGAGGGCCGATGCAGTGATCAAATCAGACTCGATCCACAAATTAGTGGCCAGGCGATAATAGGCTGCAATTAATTTATCGCCCTGAGAAAGTAGCGAGAGTTGAAACTCCACCTCGAATTGACGAGAGGGATGAACCAGCGTGTAGGAATCACGTAAGTGAGTCCACATTTCAGCAGCAGTAGGAAACGACCTGAGGGTGAGGGAAATCGTGGGATCAACTGAACGAAGGATACGGCTCTTGAGTCTAGCATTATTACTACGCCAAGTAGCAACTTCAGCAGCACTAGCAAGAGGAGAAGGCGGCCGAGCAGTAGTGTCATCCAAAATTTCAAGTAAACCTTTACCTTCAGCAAACGTGCTAAATTTAAATGCCCAAAGAGAGTAATTGGAGTCGTTCAATTTCTCTCCCAAACCATCAACATGATTAGGATCCATGGTATGAATAATAAGCAGAAGCTAGAGACCCCACTAACTAGGAAGATAGCCCCGTAAAAGACAACAAGGACAATGAGAGCAAAAGAAGGTGAGACCTACGGAAAGTAGTATCCGATGAAGAAAACCGGCAACGAAGGAGACTCTAATCCGCCGCAAACCCTAACATGGAAGAGATGATCACGAAGCCGATCAATAGGAAGAAACCAAGAAGTTCACGTCGCTAGAAATATGCGAGCAGACAAGACGGGAACAATGCACAAGATTTACGTGGTTTCCCTGTTCAATGTGAACATGACTACTCCACGAAGAGCGGCAACTCTCAGTCAATAATACTATCACCAATAAAACCGTACATAATTACATGGCCGAACCCTCATATATATAGCCTCATATGTCGGCTAACCCTAGCTCTCCTACACTAAATATATTTACATATATATCCCTCATTAGGTACATTAACAAATATAATGTTCATTTTACATTTTGATACCTCAAACTCAAATTAAATTTACTTACAATTGATACCCCAAATTTAATTAAATCACAACTTAGTCACTATAATGTACATTTTACATTTTGATACCTCAACCCCAAATTTAATTAAATTAAATCTTAGTCACTATAATGTATTTTGATACCTCAACTAAAAAAATTGGTCAAGACCCTTCCATTATCTACTTTCTCTTCGTTTCATTTTTCACTCGTCGTCCATAACCTTTTCTTTATTTCTTTCGTTGCCTTTGTCGTCTAACCCAAATTAGTATACTGTTTATATGTATTCTAATCACAAGTATGAACGAGTCCATACACGACTGACCAACAATATAGAGAATTAATAATTAAACCTTGAACCACTAACTTTTTAAGCTCAATGTCGAGTCCAATTAAAAATAAATATATATGGTCATTACTTATTACAAAGTAGTCATTTCCACTATGGGATTTGAAGGCGTGAAATTTTAAGTGAATTCCAGTTTGTATTCCTTTTGATTCTCTCTAGAGTTTTTCTTTTCACCAGGGCTAGAATTTTCAAAAATTATACATGTAATTTTCAACAATTATACATATAAAATAAATAGTTTCCTATTTTCTATCAAAAAGTAAATAATTATCATCTTAAATACATCATCATAAAAGGAATCAAGCCTCAACTATGTAAATTATAGTTTGGTACCTAAACTTAATAAATCATTAGATTTATAACTAAATTATTAGTTTGCATATAAGTCCGCAAAATATTGATGGAACATTACATTTTAGTACCTAAAATTTTTTAGTATCACATTTTAGTACCTAAACTTTTGAAGTTCTACAAATAGGTCTAATTTTTGTATGTGTAATTAAAACATACTCGAATAAATGGGTATCCATACCCAACTCATACACATTTAGATTATAAAAGTAAATATACATACCCTACCCAAACCCATCTACGAACTTACGAACCCATATATACGTCACTCATCCCTACCCATAATCAATTAGTCTACTTGGGTTTAGGTAAATATCATGTATGAGCAAAAAAAAAATAAAAAAAAATAAAATGGGATGTTGACCGCCATATATCTCTTCTCAGTCAATATCATATTGGCAAGTCAATATTACTAACAAAATTGCTAACAAAAAATTAATTTTAAACTAATAACACTAACAAAACACTATAACAGACCACATAATATATGCATATAGACCATCTTCGCCCACATTAAAGCGCGACATCGCGGCCTAGTTATACATTATATTATGAAACTCAAACTAAAAGCGATAGAAAGGAACCCAGAGGATCTTAAACAAGATTTCGCAAATCAATCGTTTGATCTAAGATTGATTATAGGGAGATTGCAAGTTCCTTCACACCAATCTCATTGGGAAAATGGGAATCCATCGCCCACTCACAATTACAACCCCTCTCTTACATTTCCCTCTTTCTTTACTTACAACAAGCTCACACCCCCCTTCATCCCAAAGAAACAAAAAATTACTCCAAATTGAATCCACCACAGAATCATTAGCGGGTCATCGAATTATCTTCTTCTATCACTTTTTCGTTTTCGAGGCTTCTTCCTCATCGAATCATCCATCTACAGGTTTGGAAATGGGCGGATGAATGCAGAATTCATCTGCCAAACCTTGATAGAAGCTGTGACACCAGCTTCTGTCGCATTATTGAACAAAAACAGCCTAGCTGCTCCGTAGATCGCCTTTGTTGGGTAAACTCTCGACGTAATAACACTCCTTCCACCCTGAGCAAAACTCTCGATTATCGAATAATCCACCAACATCCTAACCCCGAATTTCTCCCCTTCTAGTACCGGTACAGAGCTCCCGTAAATCTGCTTATTCACATCGTTCGCCAGAGATGACCTGAAATACATTACAGTTAGCACAACCATGGGAAACCATATGTAACAGGTGACAAAAATGAAGCAATGTTGAATCATCATGTTACCTAGATTGGTCAGCGCAGAAGTAAGTCCTCAAAGTTGCGTTCTTTCCCTTGACAACGTAGAAGTATACAGGGGTTTGCTCGCTGAGAGTTTCTTCCGAGAGCACCAGAAGGCCGAATGGTCCCAAAGCACCGCGGTGAGCTGCACCTTTGCTGCTGCTGCACTTGAACTCCTCGTTGGACTCAACTACTCTGTCTACCGCCTCTTTGTCCAGCTCCAACTCCGCGACTATGTCTAACTGCATTCGCCAAAACCACCAATGTTCTCTGGTAAGTTAAACAAATTTTTGTACCGTAGCTAGTAAGTGACTGACACTGTTACTTTAAAGAAACAAACACTATTCACAAACATGTGTGGCTGCTTCAAGCTTGATTGGAACAACAGCACCAGGCTTGGCTACAACGTTCTTGAATTCCTTGCTTCTCAATCTCAAGCTCTCCGATTCTTCCACCGGCCATTGAAGCAGATTGCTCCCCGTCTTTGTATCAAGAACAACTGTTCTTGGCATTCCCTGCATCCAATCAATGTAGTCTCCATAAGTGATAAGTGTCTGCATCAAAATTCACACCACAGAAATTCGGGTTCTGTTTTTACCTGAAGAGAAGCCCATCCCTTTCTCACATCAGCAGCTTCACTATCCCATTCACCAATCCACCCCCAAAGAATTCTCCTCTGCTTGCTCTGGTCAAAGAAAGTCTTGGAAGCATAGAAGATCCCGTAATCGTACCTAATCCCGATTCCGACATCGATCGCCGGATTATCGGGGTACCATTTCCCGGCCTCCTCATCGTAAGTCCCAATCGCGTAGTAATCATGCCGATCATCATCCAAACTCGCCTTCACCACGTGGCGAACGCCCGCGCCGTTCGCCGACGTGTCAAGGCCGTCGCCGCCGGCGACAGCGACGGGGTAAAAGTCGACACATTCCCACATTCCGGTACCCGGAACCCCGTGGAGGAACCCGTCCTTGAGCTCGAAATTGACGAAATCGTCGGTGTCGTAGATCAGGGCGATTCCGGTCTTGTTGACTTTCGATCCGATCGTGATCCTCCACTTCCCTTCCGATGTCTGCCACGCTGTGGTCGGGTCGCGGAAGTCCTTGTGGTGGATGCCCGGCGGCGGGACGAGGACCGGGTTGCTCGGGTGCTTGACCCAGTCGAGGAGGAGTGGGTCGTCGTGGTCGGCCGGGTAGGCCAGGTTCTGGACCTGGACCGACTCGTTAGTCGAACCGGTATAGAGCATCATGACCTTTCTGTCCGGAAGGATGGTGGCCGACCCGGTTCAGACACCCTGGACGTCATACCACTGGTCCGCCACTGGGAAATTTTTCATAAGGGTGTCCTCTTTTAAAAATTAATTAAATAAAAATAATAAATAAAAATAAAATTGTAAATATGAAAATACCTTACTCGTACAGTTTAAAAAATCCATGATGTGTTTTCATATTCGAAATTAATTGTAGAATACACTTGGTGTTTATAGTGTTAAAAAAATTGTCTCTATATACACTACTAGACAATCATTCACGAACTTATCGCATATTCGATTTGTAAACTTGTTTTTGATATAACCCAAAGTTGAAAGACTCTTTCAACACTTGCCGTACAATCATAAAATCAATACAAATTAAGGGTAGTTTGAAATTAGTTTAATTGTTAGGTTTTTAAAATAATTAGAGATAGGGAATGCCATTTTACTATTACACATTATTCAAAATCGAACAACAAATGAGTTAGCTCAACGGAAATTAAGTTTATTAATGATAATAGTATTCTAGATTTGAATTATCCAACCTACCACTTATATTCCTATATGACAGTAGGATAATCATTTTTTCAAATTTAAGGGGTGTCCCTCACTATCAATTATATTTTTTTTGTCCATACATAAATTACCACTGGGGGTTGGATAATCGTTTTCTCAAAATTTAGGGGTGTACGGGGACACCCCTAAATCACCCTGGGTCCGCCCCTGCCGCCACCATGGCCAATGGGAGGTAGAGCCAGTGGATCAGGTCGCGGGAAACCGCGTGACTCCACACAATGTCGCCCCAAACGGCGCCGTTCGGGTTGTATTGGTAGAAGAAGTGGTACCATCCTTTGTAGAAGAGTGGACCGTTGGGATCTGAAAAAACGATCGAAGAATTGCCACCATATAAAAATAACCGACATCGGAGTTGAGAATGCAGCGGGAAAGGAAAGATTATTAATAATCGATAATCGCCATTTTTAATGCTAATATCTACTTAATTAAAATTAAAGTGAAGAAGATAAGGTGAGCGTTGATGAAGCGCTGGAGCCAGAACTTTTGATAGGACACAGTCGGACCTATCATTTTCTTTCAAATGTGATAAAGCAAAACAGATTTATGATTTTGATTGTGACCCACAAAAAATGACTAACCTCTTATTTTTATTGATTTATTACTGATTAGGGATAGAAAAATAAGTAGACATAACACATCAACTAACACGAGTTAACTTCAAATAGCCAATACACACAGATTCGAAAATAAAATTTACTCAATAAATTAATTTTGCTATGATACTTATAGACTTGATTGTTAGCTTGTTAATGCGGCTAAATCACGCATTTACCGATCCTCAATCATCTAATACGCAAGTTGTGGCTGTTCCTCAAGCGATTGATGGCGTTAGTGCACCAGGCCCCTCTGTTTATGAAAGTTGTGGCTGTTCTTTGGAGGATTTGGCGATCTAGGAACTGGGTAGTCTTTGAGGGCAAACAGTTTGGGATCCCGGCCTTGATTCGACAATTTAACCAACAATTTGAGGAATGGGTTAGCCTGCCTGTCGATCGCCCCCAGCCGCTGTTGGCTCCTCTCCCAGGACCTCAGTCTTTGGTTTCCACTGGGCAAGCCTCGTGTAGATGGGATGGGGCGACAAGGTCTGGTTCTCATTCGGCGGGTGGGATGGTGTTGGTGGATGCTAATGGGGATCCGGTCTTGGCTGCAGGATTTCAGATCCCTCATATTGATAGTCCTCCGGTTGTCGAGTTGTTGGTTCTTCGTGAGGCCATTAGGTGGTGCCTCAGCTTGGGCTTTACAGAGGTACAATTTGAAGGCGACGCCAAAGTCATTATTGATAAACTTAATAGGGCGGATGCAGGTGATAGCCAGATGGGAGCAATTCTGCAAGAAGTTGTAAATCTTTTAGCTGTCCAGTCTGGTTTTTGTGTACGGTTTATAGGTCGGAGTAACAATAGGGTAGCCCATTTGGTGGCTAGGAAAGCCCTGTCTTTGTACCCGGCTACTTGCCGTTTCTTTGATTTTCAGGCCTGGCTGTCTTCCAGGATGTAACTTTCATTTTTTGATCTAATGGATTATCTTTTGTAAAAAAAAAAAAAAAATCATCTAATACGCAAATATTATTAGACAGACAATCTAATATCATTGAGAAGACGGCATCATTAAACACCAAAATTGTGGGCTAAATCATCCATTATTCTTTCATGCATTTCCATGATTGACTTGGAGATTATCTTAAAGAATTGCATCAAAAGTAGTGATGGCAATTGGACGGGCGGGGCGGGTACCTCAATTCCCATTCCCGCCCCACGCTATTACTGGTCGGGGCGGGTAAAACCCGCGCAGGTACGGGGCGGGTAACCCACTCTTACATGTTGTTCAAAAAAAATATATATAAGTAAATTTTACTTTTTACAATAAAACGTAGGGGAAAACACTTAAACAATGAAAAATATTGATAATAGAATGGATAATTAAGCCTAACAAGTTGAAAGATCGACTCTAACTAGTTGAAGAAAAGTCAAAATAGGAGAAATATGTATAGATATTGTAAGAAATTGAGATAAAATGAGTCTAGAACAGGGCGGGCGAGGTAGGGCGGGTCCGAAGTAGATACCCATGTCCCGCCCCACGCTACTGCAGGTCGGGTAATACCCGCCTCATCGCAAGTCAGATCGGGTAATACCCGCCCCATCGCAAGTCAGATCGGGTAATACCCGCGGGGCTGGTTGAAATTGCCATCACTAATCAAAAGAGATTAGTGTACATCGAATCCAAAAGCCTAGCCACTTTCTGGCCCATAACGCCACCCAAATCATTATACAAATGGAATTTTGGTTCAAGAGATCTACTAGAGAGAGTGATGGCAATGGGTCGAGGCGGGCGGGGCGGGTATCTCAATACCCATGCCCCGCCCCACGGGTCGGGGCGGGTAATACCCGCGCGGGAAAGGGGCGGGTCGAGCCATTCTTACATGCTATTTGAGAAAAATACACACACAATTTTACCTTTTATGATAAAACGAAGGGGAAAATACTTGACGAATGAATAATAGTGATAATATAATAAGTAATTGAGTTTATTTAGTTGAAAAATCAAATCTAAATAGTTGAATAAAAGTCAAAATATGAGATATATGAATGGATGGGGTAAAAAATTGACATAGGGTAAGAATGGGGTGGGGCGGGGCAAGTCGGCGGGTATTACCTGGCGGGGGACGGGTTCAAATTGCCATCCCTAACTAGAGAACAAGCAAACCAAGAAAACCGTTTCTAATTTATTTTAGAAAATTGAAACAAGAAAATGGCGATCTAGCGCTTTCCACGTTTCCCATTTCAATTGTGCAAATAAAAAAAAATATAGCTTTTTTAAAAATAAAACGAGAACAAAAAAAAAAACGAGAACAAAAAAAGGGAGTCAGAAACGGTACCGTTCATCCAATTCTTCTCCGGCTGGAAGTGGACCGCCGTCCTTTGCCAGGACAGCATACTGTTGTTCCACGGGAAGTCCTCCGACAGCCCGTCGCCGCTTCCTTCCCCGCCGCCGAGCAATTGCTGCGGTGATAAGTTAGGCTTCTCCGACACGCCGGCCGATTTCCCTCGGGAAACAGAGGGCCTAATTGTCGCACTTCCAGCTGGCATCTCTATTGGGCCAACACCCATCTCATCTCCGCCTTCCAATTGGTGGATCTTAACGACGCCGGATTTATCGTAGCCTCCGGCGAGGATCAAGCAGACCACGAAAATTCCGGAGAAAACGGCGAGAAGCAGCTTACTCTGGCTGGATCCCTGCGGCCGGTGGAGGGCGTCATCAACGACGTTGTCGTCGTGTACCGGAGCGCATTCTGGGTCGCCGGAGACCGAGAGGAATGGCTGATTGTGGTCTCCCATTGAGAGAAAGGAATTATATTTTACGCCGGAGAAAGATACAGAGTTTGTGTTTCTGTGTTGAGTTGGGAAAACTTTAATGGGGCTCTCTGTCTCTGGTTTTATACAGGTGAAGCTGTTTTTAATTTTCTTTTTTCCTTTTTTTTTTCTCGATGTCGGATAGAAAAATAAGTAAAAATTCGTGCTCTTTGGGCGGTGTTAGACTTTGATTGTTTCTGATGGCTGGGGGATCCGGGGTTGGTCTACAAACAAAATTGACAATTAATTATAATAATCTCACAAAAGAAGGAGCCATTTTCGTGGTTATAATTAAGGAAAAGCGTTTATCTTTTTAATTTAACGAGGTTAAGGAAGTTTATCTTTTTAATTTAACGAGGTTTACTTACATTACATATATAAATGATAAGCTAACATTAATTTTGGTAAAATTGTACATTTTCCTTCACAAGTACTGATCATTCTTTTTGTTATGATGACATACGTGTAGATCAAAATAAACTCTATCGGCAATACGCTTTTATAAAACCACGTGCTATAACTCGAGGAATGGGCGATTCGCAAAATGGATCCTAAGCCACACATTGGTTCGTGCCAGGTGTCCAACGTAAAACCTCTTTGGCCGAATTGGTAGAAGGTGTCTGGACGTACGTACTCAAGCTAGAGGCCAATATTTCAGAGGTGATGTTTATGGATTGATTACATCCTAAGGAGTATATAAATGGACACATTGCTGGTTCGAATTCGATTACGCGAGAGCAACTAGTCGTCCTGTTAATTATCCCGACCTGGGGAATTTTTTTGGTTCACTTGACATGAGGAGTATATGTGACTAGGCTGGCTTAATGGGGTCAGATCAGAACAGATGAATTATTGAGCAGATTATTATCAAACTGTCACAAAGTCCCAAATTTGTTGGTCGGAAGGAGATGGAAGCCAAACACCTGTCTCACTTCACCACCATTGAATTGATCACATGGAACTGAACTAAGCTGTGGTGGACAATTTCTTTTGGGAAACAATCGAGCTTTGTCCGTTTGGATGGTTGGAGAATCATCTTCTGAGGTGTCTTTTTGAGATGATAGAAATCACCCCAAATGATTCAGCATTGTTTACTTGAAAACCTAGAGGAAATGCAATAATAGAGCGCCACAAATTTTTCCTTTTTATGAATCGGATTATTGTAACATTCAGTGCAATGATTTCGAGAGATTCACTTATATCCATTCGAATAATGTCAACTTATGAAACCTCTAGTAATTTGGACCGAAGTAGTGTTCCCATGCTTACTTACTCATGCTTAATGAGGACCATAAAAATAGCATTATCAATAACCAAACAAGTAGTATGGCAATTCATCACGAATCTTGTTGGGAGAAACGAGGCTACTTATTTTATTTCATCAAAAGTAAAAATTACACTGTTCTTAATTCAATATATACAGGTTGTAAATAGGGAAATAACAAAACAGTACTTAAACATAAACAAACATTACAATAAGGTCCTTAAACTAAGTCTACTTTTACAATATAGTCCAACACCCCCCCTCAAGCTGGAGCATGAATATCCAGAATGCCCAGCTTGGACTGCAAAACAGAAAACACTGCAGTAGGCAAAGACTTTGTAAAGAGATCAACAACCTGGTTAGTAGTTGAAATATGTAGTACTTTAATTAAACCAGAAGCTATCTTGTCACGAGTTAGATGGCAATCTAACTCTATATGTTTAGTACGCTCATGTGCAACTGGATTTTCAGCAATACGTATAGCAGACTGACTATCAGAGTACAAAATACTAGGAACAGAAAAAGAAACGCCCAAAGCAGCAAACAAATAGTGTAACCATTGAATTTCACAAGTTAAATCTGCCATAGCCCTATACTCAGCCTCAGTAGAGGACCGAGATATGGTTTTCTGTTTCTTAGAACGCCAAGCAATCAACGAATTACCCAAAAACACACAGAAACCTGTTGTGGAGCGGCGAGAATCAGGACATCCAGCCCAATCACTGTCTGAAAAAGCCTTTAGAGTCAGTTCTGAATTACTGGGAAAGAATAAACCAAGACCTGGATTTCCTTTTAGATAATGAAGAACACGATAAGCAGCTTGTAAATGAACATCAGTAGGTGCACTCATGAACTGAGTCAACTGATGTACAGCAAAAGCAATATCTGGACGCGTGTTACACAAGTATAATAGACGGCCTACCAAACGACGATAAACTGAAGCATCATCAAGTAAAGTGCCAGTCTTACTAGACAACCTAATTCCAGGATTACAAGGTGTGCTAACAGGTTTAGCAGCAAGTAATCCAGAATCAGACAAAAGATCCAAAACATACTTTCTTTGGCATAGAGAAATACCAGTGGACTTACGTGCAATTTCCAGACCAAGAAAGTATTTAACATGTCCTAAATCTTTGATCTTAAATGCATCATCTAAACCTTTCTTAAGGTTTTCTATTTCAGACAAGTAATCACCAGCCAGAATTATATCATCTACATACACAAGCAAGGCTAAAAACTTTCCATCCTTATGTTTGGTAAACAATGAATAATCTGCTTTTGATTGTTGATAACCAGCATTTAAACGAAATTCTGTTAGCTTGTGATTCCACTGCCTACTAGCCTGTTTTAGACCATAGAGTGATTTATTCAATTTGCATACAACATCACCAGAATTAGGAGGAAGATTTAGGCCTAGGGGAACTTTCATATACACATCTTCATCTAGTTCTCCATGCAAAAAAGTATTATTTACATCTAATTGATGTAAATGCCATCCTTTAATTGAAGCTAAAGCAAGTAAAGCCCTAACAGTTGTTAATTTTGCAACTGGTGAAAAAGTATCTAAGTAATCTATACCTTCAATTTGAGTATAACCTTTTGCAACTAATCGAGCCTTAAAACGCTCAATAGTTCCATCAGGGTGGAATTTTACCTTAAATACCCATTTATTTCCAATGGGTTTGACACCTGGTGGACGTAGAACAATGGTCCATGTTTTTGTTCTGATTAGAGCATCCAATTCAGTGTTGACAGCAGCATTCCAGCGTTCATCCTTTGCTGCCTCATGATAACTAGTAGGTTCTGAAATAGAACTTACTGCATTAACAAAACTAGAGTGACCATTAGCAAGGTTAGTATCAGAAATAACAGATAATAATGGATAAGGAACAGACGAGCTAACTGCAGAATTACAAACATAATCTTGCAATCGAGCAGGACGCTGTCTATTCCTAACAGGTCTGCCTGAAGGGTCATTATAAAAAACAGGAGGGTATTCAGGAGGTGAAACTCCATCCTCCTCATCAGACATAAGAGAAGATGGGACATTGGAATGTTGGTCGGGGGCCATTGATGGCACTAAACCATCCACTGTGTTGGCATCATTAGATGTAACTACAGTAGATGGAAGGACTTGAATAACAGGAAACGAAAATTCAGCTGAATCCAGGTTTTGACTCTTAGAAAAGAAAGGAAAAATAGACTCGTGAAACACAACATCTCGAGATTCAACCATAGTATGAGTGGCTAGGTTATACAGCTTGTAACCTTTAGTGGCAAAAGGAAACCCTAGGAAAACACATGGATCTGCTCGAGGTTCAAACTTGGGACGATTGTGAGACAAGGTGGAAGCATATGCTAAACAACCAAACACACGAAAACCACTGTAATCTGGAAGAGATTTATGAAGCAATTCATATGGTGACTTATTCCCTAAGACAGGACTAGGGACTCTGTTAATAAAAAAAGTGGCATGTAAAACAGCATGACCCCAAAACCTAGAATGAAGAAAAGACTGAAACAAGAGGGCACGAGCAACCGTAATAATATGCTGCTGCTTGCGCTCCACCCGACCATTTTGCTGAGAAGACTCGACACAAGTAGTCTGATGCACAATGCCTAAGGAATCAAAGAATGCATTCATCTTAAACTCTTGACCATTATCTGACCTAAGGGTTTTAATGCGAGCATTATACTGGTTTTGAATGTGAGCAACAAAATTCTGAATCAATGAACGAACCTCAGATTTCTTATGCATAAGGTACACCCATGTATTCCTAAAATAGTCATCTACTATAGTCAAAAAATAACGATGACCATCAATAGTAGGAACACTATAAGGACCCCAAATATCTGTATGCACAAGATCAAACATATGCTCAGCTTGGGATTCACTTACCATGAAGGGAAGACGTTTCTGTTTGGCCAGGGGGCAAACAGAACAATGTTTGGTACATTTAGAATCAATCCCACTTATTCTAGATGCTAATGTTTGTAAACGAGACAAAGATACATGACCAAGGCGAAAGTGCCAAAGATCAAAATCATGAACAGTCTTATCAAACAATACAGAAAAAACAGTAGAATCTGGACAGGTTGAAGATGTTGGTAGAGGCAGAGGAGCTGGAGTGTGTACTTTTGCTGAAAAACAGTAAAGTCCACCGCTCACTCTAGCTATACCAATCATCTTGCGGGAGGCCAGATCCTGTAACAAGCAATGATCATTAAAGAATGTCAAGGTACATGCTGAATCTTTGCTTAATTTGCTAACAGAAATCAAGTTAAACCCGAATTGAGGTATTAAAAGAACATTCTTAAGAGTTAACTGCTCATTTAACCTAACCGAGCCTACATGTGTAACAGGGACTCGAGAACCATTAGGGACACCACATGATCAGATGCACCACTGTCTAGAATCCATTTGCAAGAATTATCATGCATAGTATTGGCAAGAACAACCTTACCTCCATCCTGGCTCGAGGAAGCACCTGAGGAAGCCAGGAATGACACACCAGTAGTGACAGAGTTCACAGTAGGAACTGGAAGAGAAAGTGTCTGAGGATGACTCTGAGCAAACAAAGCTCTATACTGCTGCTGTGTCAAAACAACAGAATCGGAAGAAGTACTTCCGTTCTCACTGGAACCAGAACTGTTAGTGTCAATAGTCTCACTAACTACAGCATTGACTCTAGCACAAGGCTTATAACCTGGTGGATAACCATGTTTCTTGTAACAACGCTCAACAGTATGCCCAGTCAAGCCACAAAACGTACGGACAGGGCGTTTTGAC